AGAGGCGAATATTATACCAGGAGAAAATTTTTTTTCCTTGAGGTATAATTGGCATACAGATCCTATTAGTTTCAGGTGTACATCATAGTGATTCGATATTTATAAACATTAAGAAATGACCACTACAATAGGTCTAGCTACCGTGCAAAGCTATTACAATATTATTGACTGTATTCCCTATGCTGTACATTACATCTGACTTATTTATTTTATAACTGAAAGTTTGTACCTCTTAATTCCCTTCACCTATTTTTCCTGCCCCCTACCATTCTGCACTCTGGTAACCACCAGTTTGTTTCCTGTATCTATGAGTCTGTTTCCGTTTTACTTTGTTTGTTCATTTGTTTTGCTTTTGAGATTCCACATATAAGTGAAATCACACAGGATTTGTCTTTCTCTGTCTGACTTATTTCAGTTGGCATAATACCTTCTAAGTCCACCCATGTTGTCACAAATGGCAAGACTTCGTTCTTTTTTTTATGGCTGAGTAATATTTCATTGTGTATATACGCCACATCTTCTTTGTCTCTTCGTCAATCGATGGACACTTAGGTTGCTTCCATGTCTTGGCTATTGTAAATAATGCTGCAGCGAACGTAGGGGTGCGTATATCTCTTCGAATAAGTGTTTTCGTTTTCTTTGGATAAGTACCCAGAAGTAGAATTGCTGGATCCTATGGTAGTTCTATTTTAAAATTTTTTGGGAACAACCGTACTGTTTTTCCATAGTGGCAGCACCAATTGACATTTCCACTAACAGTGCACAAGGGTTCCCGTTTCTCCACATCCTCACCAACACTTGTTATTTTTTGCCTTTTTGATAATAGCCATTCTGACAGGTGTGAGGTGATATCTCATTGTGGTTTTGATTTGCATTTCCCTGATGATCAGTGATGTTGAGCATCTTTTCATGTGCCTGCTGGCCATCTGTATGTCTTCTTTGGAAAAATATCTATTTGAGTCCTTTGCCTATTTTTTAAATTGGGTTGTTGTTCTTTGGTATTAAGTTGTGTAAATTCTTTATATATTTTGGATATCAACCTCATATTGTGTGTGTGATTTGCAAATATCTTCTCCCATTCAGTAGATTGCCTTTTTGTTTGATGGTTTTCTTTGCTGTGTAAAAGCTTCTAGTTTGATGTAGTCCAATTTGTTTATTTTTGCTTTTGTTGTCCTTGCCTGAGGGGACTGGTCCAAAAAAATATTGCTAAGACTGATGTCAAAGAGCTGACTTCCTATGTTTTCTTCCAGGAGTTTTATGGTTTCAGGTCTTACATTCAAGTCTTTAATCTATTTTGAATTTACTTTTGTATATGATGTAAGGTAGTGGTCCAGTTTCATTCTTTTCGCATGTAGCTGTCCAGTTTCCCAACACCATTTACTGAAAAGAATGTCTTTTCCTCGTTGTATATTCTTGCCTCCTTTGTCAGAGATTAATTGACTATACATGCGTGTATCGTTTATTTCTGGGCTCTCTCTTCTGTTCCATTGATCTATGTGTCTGTTTTCATGCCAATACCATACTGTTTTGATTACTATAGCTTTGTAGTATAGTTTAAAATCAGGAAGCATGATACTTCCAGCTTCTTTTTTCTTTCTCAAGATTGTTTTGGTCAGGAGAAATTTTTAGACATTAATTGGTATATCACTTAAAAAAAAAAATCATTGTGGTAACCCATAGAAGAAAAGGAAATTGATGAAACAAGTGAAGTCTTTCCTTAGACTCTACTGATTTATCATCTTGGAAACCAATTATAACCGATTCTTCCTAGGTCATTTGCATACATTATTCTAATCCTTAGAACATTACCATCTCCTCTTACAGATGAAGAAATAGGCTCAGTACTGCAGCCAGGTAAGTGGCAGAGCTAGATGTAGATTTGTCCCTGGCAGGTAATGAGGCCTGGTTTTTGTCTTCAGTCCTGTTATACCTCCTGGTCAGGAGAGTTTTCCAGCCATGAGAGCCTCTTCCTTGCCCCCCACACCCCTCCACTAGTCTGGGTAAGTCTCCTAGGAATGTGGAGAGCCAGGGTAGTCATCCCTCTGTGCCAATAGCTGCTCCTAAGAAGGCTTGCAGATCAGCCATAAAAAGGACTGAAGTACTGACACATACTACAATGTGGATGAACCTTGAAAAATTATGGTAAGTGAAAGAAGCCAGTCACAAAGGACCACATATCATTTGATTCTATTTAGAACAAATGTCCAGAATAGGGAAACCCATAGCGACAGAAAGTAGATTAGTGGTTGCCTGGGGCTGGTGTGTGTTGGGGGGTGGGGGTTATGGGAAGATGAGAAGGTGAAAGCCAAGGGGTGTAGGAGTCTTTTTGGGGGTGATGAGAATGTTCTAAAATTGATTGTGGTGATGGTTGCACAACTCTGAATATATTGAAAGCCATTGACATGTACACTTTAAATGGAAGAATTGTAGGGTATGTGAATTATATCTTATTAAAGCTGTTATAGAAAGGAGAAGCACTTCAGAGACTTGAGCATCATAGCTGATCAATGAGCCAGATGACCTAGTGTTTCCAACTTGAAGCTAGACCTTTTTTTTTTAATAATTAGTGCTAACATTTATTGAGCATTTACTTTTGTGCCAGGCAATGTACTAAGAGCTTTACAGGCAATAACTCATTTAATCTTTGCAACAATCTATGAAGTATATGCAACTGTTATGCCTCCATTTTGCAGATGAGGAAACTGAGGCACAGAGAGGTTGTGACATGCTGATTGAGCTCGTAAGGAGTGGAGTCAGAATTTGAACCTACAGTATCTGGGTCTAGAGCTCTTCATCACCTTTGCTATGCTGCCATTCAAAAATTATAAAAGGAAGGGTCAGGACTAGAGCTTCTCACTCCTGGCCCACTGCTTTTCTTTGATAATAAACTCTAACTATGCTCCATGTCCAAATCAATATACTAATTGAAAATACAAAATTTGTAAGTTACATGGTTCTTATCTTTGGGAAATTTACCAGACCAGCAATAAATACACAAAATATGTTTCTGTGCAGGATGATTCTAAATCTAATACTCTTTTCTCTGTCTCTTTATTTTTTTTCCTTTTCTTTCTTTGTTTCTCTCTCTCTCTTTCTTTCTAAAGCTGCGCTTTTATATGTTTGCCAAGCCTTGTTCCATATCTTGTATTGAGTCAAGGACAGTTGATGAAATTGTGAATACAATTTGCACTTCTAGTTGCAAAATGCCAACAAAAAATTAAAATTCTGGGGCCAGCCTCATGGCCTAGTGGTTAGGTTCAGCATGCTCTGCTTTGGCAGCCTGGGTTCCATTCCCGAGCTGTGGACCTCCACCACTTGGCAGTGGCCATGCTTGGTGGTGATCCACATGCAAAACAGAGGAAGACTGGCACAGATGTTAGCTCAGGGTGAATCTTCCTCAAGCACAAAAAGAGGAAGACTGGTAATGGATGTTAGGTCAGGACAAATCTTCCTCAGCAAATAAAAAAATTAATTAATTAAAAAGTAAAATTGGACTTAGATTCTGTTCTTTCTGCCTTATGCTTACATTTAGCCCTAAAATTATTTGCTCAATAATCCTGAGAAATATCAACTTTTTGTCTCAAATCAAATCCACAGCTCTAGCTCCCATCACCAGCCTGAACCTCTAAAATAGGATGAGTAAGTACACTGGTGTTAACAGAAAAGCTTTTTCTTTCTGCACATGTTCTGCAAGGCTGGGCCCACCTTTCCTCAGCAGTGAGAGGACAGCATGTCCCCACTCATTTTTCTTGGTTCTTCGTTTACTGTTGGACCCATACTCATAACGGTTTATTTATTTATTCATACAGTAATTCAACAATATTCACCAAGTTGTCTCTGAACATCTTCATTTTTGTGCAAGATGGCTATCATAAACTTGTCCTTTTGAATTTTTTTTTTAGATACTTCTTTCAATGTAGTTAAGAACAACTTTTCCATTAGATATTACTGTGATTTCTAGGTGAATAATGAGTGTCAAAGCTGGCCTTTTTATACCAATTGGAACCCTCCAATTCCTCAACTACCACATGTACTTGTCGCTTAATCTGGAAAGAAGTTGTCTATTTGCCATCTTGCGGATGAATTTTCTTCCTGTTCTGTGCAACTAATTTACCAGCTACACTGAGAGGCGCTTACGATGCTTTTAAATATAACCCATGTCAACCAAGGACCCTATGTGGTCCTATCTCTACATAGTTGCATTTAAAAAGTCCTCTAACTAAAAATAATTGGAAATGCAACTCGAGTCTTTATTAAAGAATGTCAAAGGGTCCAATTCACAATCACAGAGCAAAATTTCTTAAAATTGTCTTTTCAATCTCTCTGGCTCAATAATTCTCCCCACATCCCTACAGCTCTTCAAACTTCTCTCCCAGGCCATGCATGTGCTCTGTCTCACGCCCATGCAGTTTTCTTCCTTTTTGATGCTAACATGTGACGTCTTCAACTTGACCGCTCTTTCTACCCATTAACCTGAACCTCAGGTCTCAGCGCAAAGTTGCTTCCTGCACACACTCTTCCTGAGAGGAGAAGGCAGGGTGCTCTCCTAAAGTAATTTTTTTCACCCTGATATTCACAGAGCTCGGGTGTTTCACATGGGAACAGTTTGGGAATGCTTTTTTGTTTTTGAGGACTGACCCTATTTCTAAACAGAACATCTGGAGGTTCAGGAAATGCTGTGGGAACAGCAGGAACAGCAGGAGAGGCCTCAGAGGGAAGGACGAGCAGGCACTCATAAGCAGGATTTTCCAAGGAACACGTCTACCGGCCAGGGCTGGCTGCGTGGGCCCACCATCTGTGCCTTCACACAGGCCCTGCGCCCAGAAGGGCCCCAGCGCTCAGTTTAATGCTCTGCTGTTGCCATCTTTAATAACTTAATCATATTTGAACAAGGAGCCCCTCATTTTCATCTTGACTCACGCCCTGCAAGTTGTGTAGCCAGCCCTGCATCAGGGGCAGAGTCCTCAGATACTGACCACCTCCCGTCCCAATTCCCTCACCTTCTACTCACTTCCCACTCATCGGAAGGTTTTCAGGTGGTGGTGAAACCTTGAACTGTTGTCAGGAAACTTGTCCCTGGCACTCTGTCTCTCAAGGTATCTGAAACAACCTGGAAAAGTGGGAGGAAAGAAGGAGGAATTGGTCCTGAATGGCTTAGAAGCTGTTACGCCCATACGGAGGGGGGTTGCCCCTTCTACAAAAGTTGTGGCCATTGAGATCCAGCCTCTACCAGCAAGAGCTTAGCTCAGGCTTCTGTTTTAGGACCCTCAGCATCCCTGGATTCACCATTGCAGCTTCTAAGCGCCCCTCACCTGTTCATGCTAAATGTGTCCTATGTGGTGTGGGCTTTCCTTTTCCTGAGCTTCCTGGTACACGAGAACTGCTCACCTTTGAAAGAAGTGGGACCCTACTGTTTGGATAGAGCAAAATGTTATTTCCAGACTTGGGCTCCACAAAGGATAGATTTGGCAGTGTGGGGCTAGCACTGTACCCAGAGGATAGAGTGGAAAGGGTCCTCTGGGTTTAGACAGACCTGCGTTCTTAGGGCTGCCACACACCTGTGTGAGTTGTGCACTGCGCAGCTTCGGGAGTACCTTACACCCTGAAGGTGTCAGCCTGCACAGCTGTGAAGGGGATCCCAGAGCTGCAGCCACGTGAGCTGTGTGCTCCTGAGCAAGCTGTTGAACCTCTCTGAGCTTCATCTGTAAGATGTAGGAGGTATTGATAACCATTTAGGTAGTTTAGGAGACATTAAATGAAATGATATACCTGGTAACTAATCAAGAGTTTAATGCCTACTTGTATCTGTGAATACGTGCTTGCTCAAAAATGCTAGCCCAGTCACCGCCCTCCCTGGGGGAACCTGTCTGGTACTCGGAAGGAGCAGTGCTTTCCCAATTTCAAAGTACCTCCTGTTTGCATTTAGTCATCTCCTTTTCTTGGAGGCAAATATACATACACATATTTTTAACTCCAATATGAAAAGTCTTTAAGGAGAGAAAGAAAGAGATGAGAGGAGGTGGCACCAGCTACAGGCTCATGCAATTCTTCCCTCTCAATCTGTGCTCTGGCTGCCCTGCGATCTACCTCAGACGATGGGTCCTCAACTGGGGCTGCCCTCCCAGGGGACATTTGGCAATATCTGCAGACATTTTTGATTGTCGTGACTTTTGGGGAAGGCCGTTACTGGCAGCTAGTGGATCGAAGCCAGGGATGCTGCTAACCATCCTACAGTGCACATGACAGCCCCGCAACCAAGCACTGGGCCCAGAGGCCAGCAGTGCCGCAGGTGACAAAGCTTGCCCCAGGGCTTCCAACCTCCCCACCAGCCTGAATGCCGACACCCGGCCTTCTGTAAGCCAGGAGAGCAACTCCATGCTCCCTCTCTCCTCAAGAGCCGTCAACCGACTGCGTGGTTTCTCGAATTCCTAGGAAAGTCAGAGAAGTGTCAGAACAAATGGTGATGCCTGGGGTTCTTATTTTTCAGATTCATGTGGCATGAAAGGATGGCCGACCCAGGAGGGCCCCAGAGGTGCACACTTTGTTTTTTATCTACTTTGCTTTCCCGGAAAGTTCCTGAGAAGTCAGACACTGTGCTTCGCTGCATAATATCTGGTAATGATCACCAGCTAATCGCCGTCTGAAATCTCCCTGCAGATCAGGGTTTTTGGCTCACAAAGGCATTATTAAAACATCATTTGGGAAAATCACCTGGGAAGTTAGTTCTGAGTAACCGATTGAGCAACTAAATCCTCTATAACTTTTTTCCAAAAGATTTCCTTGAGTCACTTCCTGGATGCATTTTAGTGGTCTTCCTCGTGTCACACTGTGGTTCTTGCTTAGGCAACTCCCACGCTGGTTATTTTTCAGATGATCCACTGTAAATTTCCTGTGGCACACAGGAATGGCGTGAGTAAAGTCACTTTAGGCAATTTATTGAACTCTTCTTCCCTCGCTCTTTTACTGATAGCCTCAGGCTGGCTAAACGTGTCTTCCGCTGCTTGCTCTCTTCAGTCGTGCTCATCCGCAAGGAAGGGGTTCTATCCAAGGCACAGGTGGAGGAAAAGCAGGGACTGGAATTTCCCTTGACTGGATAATAAACGGCCTACAGCTGAGCCAGAATTGGTGCCCTCCCCACCCCAGGGGTAAAAAGGGTTTGTTATTAAAAGAAAACAGGGGGCCGGCCCCGTGGCCGAGTGGTTAAGTCTGCGCACTCTGCTTCGATGGTCCAGGGTTTCACTGGTTCGGATCCTGGGCCTGGACATGGCACTGCTCATCCAAGCCACACTGAGGCGGCATCCCACATGCCACAACTAGAAGGACCCACAACCAAAAGTATACAACTACATAGCCGGGGGGGCTTTGGGGAGAAAAAGGGGAAAAATAAAATCTTTAAAGGAAAAACAAAGGAAAATAGAAGCCAAATAATCAGGTAGGGAAGTGGTATCTTGTACCTTGTGGGTTGCTTTACTTTCTTGGATTATGTCTCTACCCTCAAAAACATGGAGACACCAGTGGTCTTTCCTGTGAACAGACAGAAAGCTCTTCTCCCCCGATCCCTTTTTCTAAGTCCAGATAGAAGAGCCAGCCTCTGAAATGGCTGCGTTTCCTTAGCAGGAGTCGTAATCAATTTTCGTCTTCAGTCTGGAAGCTGGGGTGTAGAACTGTGTACTCAGCCTCTCTGAGCCCAGAGCTGAGCCCCCGCGCCCTTTCTCAGTGTTGTCCATAGCCATTCAAATAGCGGGACAGGCACATATCCACTATTGAGCCTTCAGAGCAGGACCCCATGACTCCCCAGGAAGGCCCAGTGTTTGGATGTTCTCTAAACTTGGCTACTGGTCCCCATATACATTAGCCAGATACTTGTGCAACATTCTGGAGGTGGCTTTCAATATGTGACTTGCAGGTAGGCTTAAAAAACAAGGGTAGGATTTTCGGGTGAGGTTTCCAGCAAGTGGAGGGAGAAAAGAAAACACCCACAAGGTACAAGATACCACTTCCCTATGCAAGTCTCATTTCTGGCTGATTATTCAGATCTATACCCCACAGAGGGAAAAAACGAGTCAGCCATTAAGAAACTGAGGGAATCAATCAGCCCTGATCAGTCTGAATGAGAAATTGGAGTCCAGGAGATGAGCAGGAGTTCCCCAGGCCCAGCTCATGCATTCTTTATAGACACTCTTCAAAAGACACATACACACAAAAAAAGGTGCAATTAAATGCTTCCTAAGAAGGAATCTAATAAAACTGACAAAGGGGGGCAGGCAGAAGTGAATTACGATCAGCAGCTTCCTTGATGGTTTTTCAGGGAAGCTCATATTTGGTGGTTTAGTCATTTGCCTGCAAGAGACTCAGCCAAGCAGCTGCCGGAGAAGGACGTGTCCTTGCCTGCAGCTCTGTCTGCTCCTGGCTCCGGGGAATGACTACTCAGGTGCCTACCTGGAGGAGGGGCAAAGAGAACACCTGCAGTTACCACAGGGCACATTCATGGTGTTGGCACAGAGGTGGCCTAGCTGGGAGACCCAAAATGAGATGAGACAGGGGCTCTGAGCATCCTCGGGTCCCATCCGTGGTACATGTCTCAGAAAAACATGGAGTTCTTCTCTCAGTGGTCTCTGGGATTGCTTGTCAAAAATCATGTGATAAATAAGACAGAAACACAAGAATGTTCCTGGGATGGATTCAGAATGGCGTGTTGTTTCCAGATACCGGGCTTTCCTCCTGTATATATGGCACATTTCGATACGTTTTTCAGTGACATGGAGGCTAGTGACAAAGCTCTTTGGGACACACTGGAAACTTTCCTGCCCTGTCACAAGAGGAAAAAACCCCCAAGGGGTAAATGGAATTCCTGGGGGATTTACCAGATTAGCCAATTAGCATCCCATCCGGTTAATGATCACCAGGCGAGGAAGATCCTCTTCTGAGGGAGAAAGCATAGGTCAATTTCTGTAATGACATCAGTCACATATGCACAGTACCAGCCTGGGAAACCTGCATTCCAGACGCCTTCATCCTCAGAAGATAGGGCATTTGCTAATCCACATTGTTCGACCCTCTTTTGTACCACAATGTACACTCAACTCTGAGCACTGTTGCAGTTCTCCAAAAGGTGAAGCAACCCCCATGCAAATATGAAATGAACATTTCAAAGATGTTATTCAGTTCTTTAAATAAAGAGGGAACCAGAAAGTATTAAGACCTGGTCAAAGACTGTTTGAGGAATTTGATATTTATAGGCAGTTTAATAAAGGACTGTTAGGATAAGATTGCTGGGTTAGGTAAAACACTGGTTAGTGTCCTAAAGGGCAATAAACCGTAACTACCGAGTTATCTTTTCTGCCAGACAGAGATTATTTACATCTCTGTTGGAAAAAAATCTGCAAGTTTACAAGTAACTAAATCTGGGAATTTTAATCAGTGGTAATCATTGAATGAAACAAAGTACATTCCCCTAGATAATTCTGAGGTGGATCCTTGCCCCCATTTGACATCAAAAGAGGATACTATCCACATTTTTGCCTTATTTCTAAGTTTTAGATAATTTTTCTTAATAGCTCCTTGAGATTAGGGACAACACTGTTCATTTTTTATGCTCCATCTCCACCCAGAGCAGCCCCACTGTAGGCACGTAACATGCTCAGTAGTGCTTATTGAATGATGCCTTTGTATCTATCGATGAGAAAAAGATTTTCCAGTTTCCCCACTGACATATCACTCATGCTCATCCCTATTGCTTATTACCCATTCTTGTTCATAACTTTATGACTTTCTTTTCTAAAAATGCTTAACATAATAATAATATTCTTATTTCTTTATCATCAGGTCAGCCCAAGCCAGAGGTAACTTGGTATAAGAATGGTCAAGCCATAGATGAGAGCGGCATTATTTCCAGTTATGAATCCTTTGAGAATCAGTATATTCACATGTTACATCTCTTTTGGTAAGTGGGTGAGCCTCTGTGGACTGTTTATTAGGACCCCTGTATTCTCTCCTATGCTGTTACTAGAGGTAAGGCCAAAAGATTGGCTCACGTTTGCTTTTAAAGTCCTAGTGTTAGATGTTATTGTTAGGCACCAGCAAAGACATCAGCAGTGACTCTGCTGAGCT